ATAGCTGGGTAATACATCAGAGGTCGCACCTTCCATCTCAGCACAACCAACATCTGCCTCGACACACACTGGCTTATCCAACATTGACAATAGCAGCCATCTAATATTGTGGTTGCTAACCTAAACGCCAATCTGCAAGCTCTGTGCATTTCAACAAGTAAGACTTAGGATATGCTTGTTTGATTCACTTTCTTAAATGTCTTACTATTAGGTATCAATCAGTTCATTTCCTCTTTCCGGTACTGACATCCTACTCATGGATTTAATGTAATGAACTTGTATAATCAAATTTAGCTTAAATACACATTGTAAGATGATATTTACTATTCAGCTATTGTTGAACTGTTTGTAATGTGTTGTCAGATGTGGCCACGCACTTCCCTTAAAATGACAGGGAGACTTTGACTTCATTATTATTAATTACTGACTTCTGGTGTGTCACCATGATCGTAACAAGTAGAAAGGGAGCTCGTTGTCACTCCTCTGTCTTTCATAAAATCATAGTGCACAAAGTGCTGGCTAATCTGATCTGCCTGAGCCAGTATTTTCAAAAGCAGCCAGTCAGTCCATCAGCCAAACAATGAGAGAGGCCACAAGATAACAAGATAAGCTTGGGCCAGCCTGGTGAGGTGGTCCTGAGGAGGGGAGTGGGGGATGTGCATATGATGAAAGACCCTGCTAATGCCATGTACAGACAGAGCCAGCCTTCACTGCTGTTAAATAAATCTGACTTTATGCCGTGTCAGGCCTAAACTGACCTCTTTAAAAGAGGCTTTGAGATGGTAAAATGTATTACAATAGTTTTAAAAAGAAAGTGTTACAGATTGGGAAGAAAAAATTCTACTTGTCTTCAGTCGCTGTGGTTAAGATGCCAGCATTGATTGGCTTGGCTTACTAGTCTGGGTTTTTTTCCCCACACAGACAGAAAAAGAAAAGGGTTAGACAAATGATTGCTTCAGTGGGACACCATCAGCATGTAAAGCCCAACTCTAGTACGCACACATCTGTTGCTTTTCCCGTGAAAAATAGCTGAAGCAGGGGAAAAAAACCTAGAGCTGGTGATATTAAGCTCCTCCATCTTGCCGTGCCATGATCTTTCAAGCTCATGAGGCAAAAGCCTCTAGCTCTTTTGTGACCTTGAACTGTGTCTGTACAGTCAGGATTTACTGAGTTTGTGGGTGTGAGATGCCCTCAGATGGCGCGGAAAAGGCCTCATGCACTGGTGAACTCCTTTGGCCACTCTGGACATACTGAGTAACCTAGCGTTCAGACCTTTGTGCATGGAGTCTGTCCCATTAAGTCACCAAACGCACCACCAGACTAAGGCAGCAATACAGTAAAATAACGCCATCTTTGACCTATGAACCCTTGCGGCTCACAGGGCCGAGATGTGTGTAGTCACTATTTGGGACTGATGCAGTCGGTGACTGACTTGACAGATAGCACACTGCACATACAAAATCACACAAACATAGCCTAAAAAAATACCTCAACAAAAAGTAACCACCGGCAGTCCGTGTAGCCCAATCCTGTGAAGTAACGATAATTCCTATAAACTAGAAGTCGTCGGTGTCATCTCAGGGTTCTAAGTGGATTTAGGTCAATGAAGGAAATGTTCATGTTCCAAATTCACAGTCTGATTACAAGCAGAATTGGTAAAGTAGACGACAGCAGGTAAAATACAGCCTGTCTGCAGGGTCGTGTCTCGTACGAGTTAGTATGGCAGAGGTGGCGATCTAACTCTCTAAGGCGTAGTGCCCTTGTTGTGAGATTACCCAGCAGCTAAGCAGTCATTAGGTAAACAAAGGTATTAGGCACCAATCAGGCCCGAACTAATAGGTAAATACATCCTTCCAACATCTGTTTGGGTCAAAGACGAACAAATGAAATGTCATGCACTCGGATGAACTGAACCGACAACTCCGAAGCAGGATTGCATGAGTTTATTCAAATTACTTGATGATTTCTACTAGTTTTTGAGTTAAAGCAGCTGGTTTCTTCTTGTTTGTGATTCTCCAACTTTGTGTCATCATCAGAGGCGATTTGAAACAGGAACTGTGGATTTCATTAGAATTTCCAAACTGTATTTGCACAACTGAGACTTTACAGGGAAAGCGTGACACAACCCGCATGCCGTCACTCCCCAAATTAGGTGCTGAAAGAAAAGGCCTTTTTTATCCTATTTTACTGTAATTCCAAGTCAATCTAAGTCCATGACATTATCGAGCATTCGTGGTTGTGTTAACTGGATTGAGAGATTATCTCAGATTACGTTTGATGAGGCTGACCATAAAACAATGGCTTTAAATAGACCTCGCATCCTCATTGAAGTCTGACGGTTCTGTGTTTGCTGTATCGATAATGTTACCACATCGTCCTCGGGCGGAAAAAAAAAAAGAAAAAAAAAAGAGACACCTCTGATCTTTCAAATGATCGAAAAGCAAGCCCTGCTCTCACCATTTAACGCTCTGCCTGGGAGCTAAGGCATTACTTTCAAGAAAATAAGAGAAACAAAGCCATCTATTTTTATGTTACTGGCAGCAGAATAAACAAGTTACACAAAAGAAACTTTTCATGTCAATAAAAAAAGAAAAAACGCAGTACCAGCAACTTATGTAATGAGATGAGACAAAATTGACTGATGACTTCTAAATGCAGAACATCACACTTCTGCCCGTGTTACTCTCGGGAATCTAACTTTACATGGTATTTATAGCACACACTGTTGATGGCCAACTGCCAATTTCCAACCAAGCAACCTGCACATTGTAATCTTTAGGGTGACACCACTTTGGTTTTTGCCCCTGACTGTCCTGGGTCTATGGCAGCAATGCAGCACACGACAGGGACATCCCAATATCATAATGCACAAAATAATCTCAGGGAAGCCCATTTTAATCAAGTGTTCAGTTCAAGGGCATGGCGTCAAATCACACCCTACTGTCCCTACAAAGCCATGCTTCACACCTGAACAGTAATATGTGGAGGATTAAGGACACCTTGGAGCTTAGTCATGACAGGGAAAAAAATGATTTGAAAAAAAAAAAAATAATGCTGCTCAGTGCGTAGTGGTGAATGTCAGTTAAAAATAGAAAGACAAAAAAAAAAAGCACAAAACCAGACCTTCGATCATATTTTGCAGGACACCTTTACAAACTCATTCATCCTTGTCCTCGCCCTGCTGTTTTACCCTCCATTAGTCATGTATGAATTTACACACACACACACACACACACACACACACACACACACACACGCCCGCTAAATTGCCAATTAAATCTCAAAATAACACATGTCTTGAAATACATGCACGTCCCCAAAGTGTCAAAGCTTGATTAAAAAAAAAGGGTGTTTAGATGATTATATTCTAATAATATTTGTGCCTTTCTAGTTCTATTAACCCTGTAGACCCAGACTACAAAATAAAAGAGGCCATACCTATATCTGGTTGCAAAGAAATTCTATTATCTCATGTATTTTACACTTTGTGTGTTTTCAAAGCGGGGTGCAAGAGAGAGAGGCTAAATCTGCTGTAAACGTCGTAGGAGATGAGACATGATGGCTGGGTTTCATTTGCGCTATTTTTCTCCCATCAAAAGTTGGTTTTCGACACACACACACACACACACACACACGCACACCCACCCCCACCCAGTTCTGTTGGCCAAAGTACCCAGAATCCATTGCAGCTCAAGGTCACCTGAGTCTTGTCTGGCACACAGCCTGCACACCTCGGCTCTCACTCCCTTCTTGCATATAAGCCGTAAATCAATTAGTGTGGCAGAAATAACTATTTCCATGCTTGCTTTTTAAAACGAAGAGTGACTTTAATTTGAGCATTTTTGGTTTACACACTGCATATCAAATGGTGATGTTGGCTCCCTCAAGTGTCCCCCCCCCCCAGCATTGTGTAACCTGCAGTTTAAATATCCTTTATGTACTTAGAATAAATCCAGATTTAATTAAAGCTTTACAATGCAACTTTCTCAAAAATTCATTTCCATTTCATGTCACAAAAGAAATCTAAATCCATCCGGATAATCTCTACACCGGTATCAAATTGCACCGCAGTGTCTTTTGCCCTCAAGTGTCATTGAGGGAGCGAATGTTAGTCACACGGTGATTTCTACTGTTCCTGACTGAGGAGTGTTCACTGTTCACGCTATTGAGCAAAAAGTGAAATATTGCCCTGAATGACTGTGTACATGCAGAACCTTCCCTGAGAGCAAACATGGAGGAACAAACAAGACTACCGCAGCCACCCTGAAGCCATTTACTGTATGTGGTTCACCTCGTCGTGCTGTATGTGGTTTACTTTTTTACGCAACGATTTAAATGCAGCATTTAAGTGGGAAATCTTTAACTGGGAGGAGAGAAAAAATACAGTAGCTCCTGAGATTTTCCAAGGGATTTGTTTGTCAGACAGGGACACAATTTGTAGAGCTTAACCCAGAATTACACATTTGACTGTTTTATTAATCCCACCGTGGAATACTGTATGCCAGCCCTGTTCGCCATCGCTTAAGGCCACATTAATGGTCAGTTCAGTTGTTGAAAAGTTTTTTTTTTTTTTCACATTCTCAGTCAGACACATGTCCAATTGTTGCATATTGAATGATCTAAGAGTGCGGGACATCTGTGAGACACTGGTCTCATTTGAAAAATGATCATAAGGTCGATGACAACAAAAAAAAGATGCATGGAATTAAAAAGCACATCGCCACTAACAAACTGATTTCATTTTTGGCTCGACTGAAACCATTATCAAAGTAAGCCTGACTTCATTAAAATCAGCTGCATGTAAAAGGATGAGTGTGTGTACCCATGCCAGAGGGGACAGTGAAGGTCATTTCTATTATCCACAATACTAAAACTCATTACTGCACACCTACTGTAACTGCCTCATAGTCTTACATTTCCTATAAATCTGTATTTTCAGAGGAAATGGTGGTGAAGGGGTAGTGAGAGAAAAAGAATCCAGGTCAGGAAACCAACTCACCTTGGGTTGCACTTCTACTTCTACCACTTGGTTCTTGTTCATGCAACCTTTGACGAAGCCCTCAACATGGCTGTTGAACTTCATGAAGATCACGTAGGCGGCGTAGCCCGAGAGCAGCGTGAGGCTTTCCCACATGGAGATGATGTTATCCAGGAAGAAGATGATGAGCAGGATCAGATCTATGATGTAGAAGGAGACGTCGCGGAAGAGTGGCCACCACGTTAGGTTGAGGATCTCCTTGGAGAAGATGGCACACATCCCGATCACGAAGAGGATGTTGAAGACGGCCGAGCCCACGATGGTCCCGATGCCCACGTTGCTGTGTGAGATGAAAACCCCGATGATGGAGGTGAAGAGCTCCGGGGCTGAGCCGCCCGCCGCCATGAATGTGGCGCCCGCTACGTCGTCGGAAATGGTCAGCTTCTCCGTGATGACTGTCAGCGCTGGGACGAAGAACTCGTCGCACACTATGGCTAAAGCGATGAACATGTAGATCATGCCGAACATGTGGAGGATCACTGCTCCTTGGCGCCTCTCGTCAACGGTGAAAATGTCTGGTGGGTAATCCCCCTGGCTCTTGTTGCTTTCTGCTGTAGATTTCATGGCTATTGGCATGTCAGCTGACACATTGGGGTCCCTCTGAGTTTGGGTAAAAAGTAGAGTCCTGTGGGGGGCCGACCGGTGGAGACTCTCCTGGGGAAGCACTGGCTCACTGAGACCCCCTGAGCTCCAGGTCAAGGCACTGAAGGAGACGGCACTTACGGCCACCAGGCTGAAGACGAACCCTAAGATTCGCACTGGCCTCAGCTTTTTCCGCAGACACCGGTGGCCCTGCCGCTTACAGGCAGCACCCAATGTGGGTCTTCGCTCTGGTGAATCCATGCAGGGTTGATCTGAACCCATGTCTGTGAAGTTTGTGTTGTCCTCACTCTCAAAGGCTAGGTAGGAAGAGGGGAGAGTGGGGAGCAGGTTTTACCGGAGACAATGCATGCCTTTGTCTTCAGTTTCAAATGAGTTGAAAAGATTGTAGGGTCTTCCCAGGGTCTGGTTTGCCAAATGATGTCTTCATATTAGCCTCTGCTGGACAATGTCAAAAGAGTGAAGAAGAAATTCATTATTAAGGCAGGAAAGAAACTCAAAGAGTGTAAAAAGGCTGTTGAGATATTGAATACACAGGTTTATCTTAAAGATTCTGCTTTGCCAATAGTCTAGTGATGCTACAAACTTAAATGACACAGAGAACTAAATAATTATTAGTGGATTAAATCCATTACATAATCATCAGAAAGTTAATCTTTGTCAATTTTGGTAATTGCTCTCTATGATGTAAAACATTTGATTAGTGCAGATTCTCAAATGGACACTTTTGCCTGTTTTACATTTCCATTAAAAATTGACTGACACTTAATTTCTTAATAAAAAATGAAATCTACAATTAGTAGCAACTAGATTAACAAATAATCTTTGGAAAAGACTGAAAAAATCAGGACTGAAAAAAGCTAACATTAAACAGGTCATTTCCAATTCTAGTGTGATGCAGAAGTGTGGAATCTTATGATGAATATTTAGTTTTAAAATCGCCCCACAGTCTCAGTATTACACAGTCTCACAGCACTCTGAAATAACACATACTATGGACAAACAGATCAAGAATTTATAAAATCTTAAGTCGAAAGATTTCCAAGTATTTTAGCCTAAGTGAAATAGTCATTGTGTGGCCTTCACATGCTGCATTTAAATACAGTAATTCACAATTTGATTCGCGATGGATTCAAAACACGAGATGAAAAGCAAAGAGACAGAAGTTATAGGTGCGGATGATGCGCACTGCTGCTTTAACTCGTTCCGCTTTGAATTGTGACAACTTGCAGTCAAAACATCAGCCGCTTCTTTTTTTACCTGGGGAAATATCCCGAAATGTGAAGGCCGACGGTTTACGGGCATCACCGGGCTGCAGTCAGTGAGAACGGTGCCCGCAGTGACGCTGCTGCTCAGGTGAAAGCACATAAAAACACTCCTGTCCTGTTCCACTTCCCAACGACGCACAGCCTGCTGCCTTAAAGCTCTGCCCCCCCCCCTCCTCTGTCTGCCCTTCAACTCTCCTTTTCATGCCCTCCGCCGCAGCCGGTATCATACCAGTAAGATCATCGTGCCATACTGCATCTATACATTAACTAAGCTAACCATATATTATCATTCATTCACCCGACCAAAAACAAGAAGCCCCCCCCAAAACTTGAGTTGCCCTGGCTCGGCTCGTTGGCGCGTGGCGTGGAGAGCTCGCGGCGGGTGTAATGGGGTGTCATGCCTTACCTTTGACAGAGGCGAGAGAAAAACAGCCGCGCGGCACAGCAGCGGGTTGGAATTAGGAAATCCTCTCTCGGTGCCCTCTTGCTCTCATTGAGCTACGAAAAAAAAATGTGACCGGTGTCCGCTCTCTCCGACGACAGAGGAGGAGCTATGGATGGAGGGAGAGAGAGAGAGAGGAGAGAGGAGGAGAGAGAGACAGACAGAGAGAGAGAAGAGAGAATGAGAGAGAATGCTTTTCCAACTGCGCTCCCTCTTCTCCCTCACAGCAGCGCCCACATCTCTCCGGTTCTGATGGATTGACACTGAGAGATGGAGAGAGAGAGAGAGAGAAAAGCCCACTCGGTTGAAAATACCTTGCTAATGTAGCAGCAATAGTGTGCTGGGCTGGGCTGACCACGTGAACCGGTTGGTTTATTAATAAAGCCAGGTAACCGGCAGACAGCGTATCCGTTCCTGCTGGGTTCACGCGGTGGGGGCTTTTGGTGATGTTGCGTTTTGAGGGAGGAGTTGCCGTGGTTACACAGCAAAAGCAGTATTTTCACTGATTTTTTCTTTTCTTTTCTTCTTCCTTCCTTCCTCTCTGATGCCAGAACAGGGGATAAGCTTCAGCTCCGTTAGCTGATTTTATGTGCACGCTTAAGTTTCAAGGTTATGTGCAAGAGGCGGATCCCCTCTGTCGGAGATAACGCTGCAAATGTGCAACCCACAGTGCTGCATCATGCATTGTGCAAATGATGCATCTAACTTAGACTAGAGTATCATTTTTATTTTAAATACTCAAATATATATATACATTTTTACATTCTAGGAAATGTGCATATCTGCTTTTTAGCCAATTGTTTGGTACCTCTCACATCTGTATGAAGCTGTACCAGCAGCTGGTTAGCTTATAGGTTAGCATATGGACAGGAAACAGGGGCTAGCCTGGCTTTGTCTTAAAGTAACACAATCTGTGTACCAGCGCTAAAGTTCACTAGTTAGGGCCCAAGCAGCAATTGCTTTGAACAAAATTGCTATTATTCTTTAAGAAAATGAATCTGATTTTTGGCGGGGCAATATGCCAAAACTCCTGAACCACAGCATATGTCAGCCATGGGATCTCACATATGGACGTGGCAAAATGACCTCCTAGAGTCCACCACAAATTTATTTTGGCACTTTTTGTACGAATTAAACAAACCAGATATAGCATAACTAGTGAGCTTAAGTGGTGCTGGAAGTTGGATCTTGTTACCATTTGATTGAGCCAGGCTAGCCGTTTGCACCTGTTTCCAGTCTGTATGCTAAGCTAAACTAACTGGCCCAAGTTTCATATTGAACGGACAAACGTAAGTATGGTATTGATCTTCTCATCTAACTGCCGGCAGGAATGCAAATAAGCATATTTTAATACCAAAGGGGACAGTAACATTAAAAGGTCAGGCATGCTTTAAGTGTCAGTTTGCTTCATTTTGAATACATCAGCCAAGCCTTCATCTGACATAACCATCATCCCTACAGCCCCCCCAGGTTGCTGTGTTTCCCCCACCATGTCAGATAAAGCTTCTCAAACACTTTGCTTTAGTCGACAGGCCAAACGTTGTTGGATAGATGCAGACACGCAATCTCTTCACAGAGTGACAAAGTATGTGTGACACTAATGGCCTGCTGCTGTATAATAAATCATGATTCAGTGACCTCATTGATTGCCCCCTCTCCTTCCCACTGTAGCTGCCTCTTATTACCTAACAGGAAACACAGAGGACAACAGCATTAACTTACCTCAGATTATTTTTGTTAAATCATCTGAAAAAAAACCTCTGAATGTCCACTTATACGTAGCTAATTAAATATTACAAATTGAAATGGATACGTCTGTCATTATTGCTAAACATGACAGACGTAAAGCAATATTTTGGGGAATACACTCAATTGCTCTCTTGCTTTAGCTTGATGAGAAGATCAATACCACCCTCACATTATCCAGTAAATATAATAGTACAGCCAGCAGCTAGTTAAAGACTTGAACTGGGGGAAACAGCTAGCTTAATCCATACAAAAACTGAAGTGTAAAAAAGTTTCTGGGTTTATGAGGGTTTATGTGAGGGAGTGTAGGCCGAGAGCAGTGACTTCTTGAAGTGTTGCCATTATCATGAGATTGCCAGTCAACCAGCCAAGCAAACCAATTGCTGGCTAGCCTTATAGTATATACTGGACTAATATGACAGTGGTATTGATCTTGTCATTTAAGTTTCGGAAAAGCAAAACGAGTATTTCCCAAAATGTTGAATATTCCTTGAAAGCATGAAGGCTTAACCTAAATTGTGTAATGTCAATTATAATGCCTTCTCACAGGATTAAAGTTCAGTGTACTAAAGTCCAAAGTTTGAAAAAAATAACCCTTATGAAGTCGTAGTGATGTCATCTGGGTCATCTCGGATTTGGCTTTGTGCGAATTTAGAGGTCACGAAAGGTCTAATTAGAGATGCTGTTGGGTTGCATTATGGGAACTGTAGGATCCAGAATGTTTGTAGTTTGACCCATACTAAAAGGATAAAATTCATGATATCTCAGCCTCTGCTGCTTCAATATTGATCATTGGTTGCGAATGCTGGAAGAATAATAGTTACTATCACCATGGAAACCTTTCGACCAGACAAACTGCCATCTTCTGTGGTCATTTTCTGTAAGACATGACCAAAATGGAGAGAAAAAATAAAACTCGAAGGCTGTTTTTGTTTAATGCATCAAGTTTCAGAGATGTTCTTCTACAAAGAGAGATATCGATATTTAGTTAAGAAAGGCGACTCCACAGCGAAAGATGTTATTGCAATTATGAGACAGAAAACAACCTACCCAGAACAAACCTAGATAAATCTAAAATTATCACATGGAGTTATTTTGTTGTTGTTATTTCACAGGCAACAGCATGACAGTTCTACGTGACAGAGAGGGCTTCCATTCTTAAATTTTTTACCGATCTTTTTTTTGTTTGCACCTATTACAGGAGTCAGTTACATTGGAGTAGATCTGAGACAGCCTCAGATTAGTGTGATGAACTTTGTGTACCACTTTACACTGTAAGAGGCTGTGTCTTGCACAGATTGAAGAGGAATGAATTAACTGTAAAACTTGTTTCTAATAATCATCAGGTAGAGTGGTTCCAAGTTCTCGCTCCAAAGAGTCCTTGGGACCGGATGCTGGGGTGTCAATAGTTGAATTGATAAGGCTGTAAATGCTAGAAATGAGCCACTTTTGTTCCAGAACAAGAGCCAATAATGAATCAACCAGAGTTTCCAGGGGTCGACTCCGAGGGAATTTAGGGTTCTGATTCCGAATAAAATGCCTAATCTGAAAAAAAACGAAATAGGTGGGATTTAGGTAAGTCAAATTTCTTTGAGAGCTCAGAAAAGGACATAAAAGTCCCTTGGTTGTAAAGGTCCTTAAATTTAGTTATCCCTTTGTCAAACCAAGTCCGAAAAGTCAAATCAGTGCAAGAGGGCAGGAATAGGTGATTGTTTACAATGGGGGAGAGGTCTGAGGTTCTATGGAGGCCTAGGCTTTTCCTAATTTGAATCCAGATTTTAACAGAGTGAGCTACCACTGGGTTCGGGGTAAAGTTGGTGGCAGTCAAAGGGAATTGGGAGCAAACCAGGAAATAAAGAGGGAGTTTAGAGGATGCAAATTCCATATCCACCCATGCAGGTCGCTCTTCATCTGCTGTGTTGTTAATCCAGTATAGAAGTTTATGAATATTACAGAACCAGTAATAGTGTAAGAAACTGGGCAATGCTAAGCCACCAAGAACTCTTGGGAGCTGTAGCACTGATTTTCTGATGTGTGGATTTTTATTGCCCCAGAGGAAGGAACTTATTAATTGATCTAAAAAATGACTTTTTAATAAGGACGGGGATATGTGAAAAAAGGTATAGAAACTTGGGTAAAACAACCATTTTAACTAAACTAACACGACCAACTAGGGAGAGTGGGAGACCAGACCATCTGTCGAAGTCTAGTTTACACCTCTCAAGGAGAGGAGAGAAATTTTTGGAGAAAAGTTGATTAATTGGATTTGTAACATACACCCCCAACTATTTAAATCTGTCTGTAGCATATTTGAAAGGGAAAAAAGACGGGGGTATATTTTTGGCCAGAGAATTGATGGGAAGAAGTTCCCAAAGAAGACCCAAATTTGTCAAAGATACTTAAAACCACAGGGAGAGAGGCAGCTATATGTATTTATTTTTATGTTTTGGACATCTGTTGTGTTGACACTTATTCATTCTTTCAATACACTTTTAATAAATTCCACAGAAATATTGGAAAGCTGTCACTCAATTTGTGTCACAACTTACTTTTTGAAATGGAGGCTGTCTCAAGAGCAGGGATGGGCTGAGGCAGGAGGTAAATCACAGTAACACAGAGGCAGGCCATCGTCACGGCCACCACTACACCCCATTCGGCTTTTTTCTTAATAGAAATGCATCTGTGGAGTGTTTAAGTGACAAACACACTGCTCACTTTGTGAAAATTTTGAGTAAGGGCCACAACAGTACAGTGGAGATGGTGACTTGTGTGTTGAGTGTGGAGCTCGTTCCACCCCACCTGGACAGATGGACCTGGACACATGGCTAGCAATTGCAGCTGCCTTGTCAGGTTGCCTGTATATGAGCACAGGAATCCAGGAACAACCACCGCTTCTAGGTCAACCACAAAGGGTGCAGGGCCATGGATGACTTCATTAAAGGGGAGGTCCATAAGCTCAGTGACATATTCTAAAACACAGGGGAGAGCACATAACATAGCATATAATGTGAGTAATTCATATGGTATCATTGGTTGACAAACTGTTTCCAAGTGGATAAAGAAAATTGCTCATTTATACACTTGGCAAATGTAGTCCTATACCTGATGCCAAAACTCACCATTGGGTCAAATGTGTTTGGAATAATGCATATATGCATCTCTGTGCTAAGACACTTTGACACCCAGTCTTCAAGATATTCCAGACTCTGGATCAGCTATTCCTTTTCTATACGGATACTGCTTCCCACCTCATTGCTCTATGGGTCATAAACAGACCTAAAATGTCAGACTAAGGACAGACTACAAAGCTTTAAAATTAGGAGTTTCCCTCTTGCAGTGTTTGCACTAACATAATCAAGAAACTAATTTATCATTACCTCCACAAAATGTAT